TATTTTGTTACTGTTAAAGAAATGAATAAAGTTAATAAACTAAAGTAAACTAGAATAAAAAGGCTAATGGACATGTTTTTCGCTGTCATAGAATATTTTCAACAAAAACAGAGAAAGTATGGAATCAAATTTTCACTCAAAATGTAAAACATGTTTTGCACATGACAACATGTGAAAAATCCTGTTTTTTTAATGTTTTATGTGATTTTTTTGGGACTCTAAACTAAATGAGAATAAAAGGGAGGGATGCCGCTACCTGAGCTCTCAGCAAACAAAACAATAAGTGAGGAAACATCAGAAGCAACAAGCATCTCTGCCTGTTCCACAGCAGTGACGTTATTTGTTTGAGTCGACAGTGACAAACAACAACGTGTCACGCTAAGTTAATCTTTGACACCTCTCTCTTCCACCTCCACTCCCACTTCTTCCTCATTCAGCTCCTCCCATTAAATGTTTTCCTCAAAGAAGAAGAAGAAGAAAAAAAGATGGACACCTCAGGTTAAACCCAAGTCCAAAATAAATGGCCTTCTTCCCTGAGGCTGGAGTCATTTTAATAGTGCAGATTTATTGTGCTGCTTTTTGGAGGGCGATCATATATGTGTGGTCAGTAGAGCGTACGCAGTCTGTGACCCAGCCTCCCTCTCACGTTACACCCTATTTATAACATCCCCTCGGCTGGCTCCCCTCGTTCTGCAGTTCCTACSAACCTCTCGTGCTTCCAGCCTCGAGCTCCACTCCTCTGTTCCTCCTGACATCTGAGAAGCTGTGCTGCAGCCGGTCCCGGGCTAACTGTTTATGCTGCACAGCCTGCCGAGCAGCCGTATGCTCCGGATTACCCCAGGACACCCGTTTCACAGCTCGCGCTGTCTGCTCTGACTGATCCTCCTGACTGAAGGAGAGTGTTGGATATGTGCTTGTGATTTTCTGTGTTTCTTGTTGAGTAAGGAACTTCATCCCTTTGAGTTGRCCATCTCCTCTGGGAGGCCTGGTGTGTTCGGACCCCATGGATCACACACTGTTTGGGTGCCTGCGGAGCCCCCACGCCCCGGCGCAGACCCTGCATCCCGCCTTCACCCAGTCCCCCCTGACCCTCCACGGACGCTCAGACCACATCACCTACCCCGACCTGGCCTCCTCGTCCTCCTCCTCCTCCACGTCCTCGCCCTCGCCTTGCGTCATCTCCAGCTACCCGGCCGACGACGGCCTGTTTCCCGGGCAGCCCCACCACCACCACCACCGGGCCCACCTGCCCTCGCAGCAGCATCACCACCCGCCTCAGCACCACGCGCCGTGGCACATCCCACAGATGCCGTCGCCCGGCGGCGCCGCACGCCACGGCCTCTGCCACCCGCACTCCCTCCCCTCGCACGACAGCAGGCCCYCGGCCCCGGACCTGGGCCACCCCGGCGCACCCAGCATGTGCGCCAGCACCCCCACACTGGGCAACAGCAGCACCCCCACAGGGGCCTCCTGCGTGCCGTCGGACTTTGGCAGACAGACTCTGTCACCTGCTGAAGCCGAGAAGAGGAGCAACAAGAGGAAAAGTGACAGTTCAGGTAAAAAAAAACTGCAAGTTTTCCACAACTTTTTGACACATTGCACAACCAAAGATCAATAGTTTCACTTTAAAACACTTTTTGTTACATTTTAATAAGAGCTGAAGAACACCACAAACATCTGCATGAGTCTGAACTGCAGCTTTGATAGAAAATCAACAACAACAAACCCMAGGTGCAGTTAGGTGTCGGCTGCAGACTGAGGCGTGGAGCAAAGGCCACGTTAACTACACGGACACTTCTGACTGCTGCCATGTTTTGTTTAAGAAGAAAAAAAAAATCACATCTGGTTTGTTGCGACACTTTTCTGAGGGCAGAAAATGAGGTGCACAGTAAAGAATTGATGTCATGGACTGTAAAAGAATACACCGGCGCCTCGTGCTGCACTAAACGCCTCGCASATGCAGAGTTTTCATGCTTTTCTTTTCTAAAACCATGAAAATAAATCACAGTGGAGGGCCGGGTGGGTCGTTCTAATGCAGGAGGCTGGGAAAAAAAAGTATATATA